GGGCACCACATGATCCTAATATCTAATAAAAGCGATAAGCCAAAGAGGCTAACCTTGACTATAAAAAAAAAAAAAAATTCTTTTCTTTTTTTATAATTTTTATTTTAATTTATTTTATACGACAATTTTAAATTTTTTTTTAATTTTTTTTACGATTAAATTTCTTTTTACAGATTTATTAATTTTTTTTGTAATTAAATATTTTTTCTTTTATATGATTCTTTTTTTGATTTTTAATTTCTTTTTATAATTTTTATCATTTGCTTTATGATTTTTAATTTGTTTTGTTTTTTTTTGTAATTTATAAATTTATGTTTAAATTTATTATTATATTTATTTTATTTTTTTAATTTTTTTTTATGATTTTTAACTGATTTTTTAGTGATTAATTTTTTCTTTTATGATTTTACTATTGTTCCTTTTCTTTTTTTTATAGGATAAGATGAAAGTTTTATTAAAAACACTCCCCAAAAAATATGCACTAAGGGTAGATGAAGTTTTTCTGAGCCTAGAAAATCAAGACACTCTCAAAATTTTATTACCAAAATTGCTACAATTGTTGGCACCCACTTATACTCCTATCCAAAAAGAGGTTTAAAATTGGTTAGGTGCTTCACACTGGCATCAAAAGGTCAGTATAAGAAAGTTCAAGCAAGAAAATTAGATGAAGACAATTAACATGTTCATGCTAATAATAGGATAAATAAAGTATGAAAGTTTTATTTTCTTATCATTATATAAAATAGCCAGACTTTGGATTTTAATATTCATAACTTAATGGACTTAGCTATTGAGCTAAGTTCGATAAGTTATAAATATTGAAATCTGAAATCTGGTTTGTTTATATTATATTTATTTATTATTTATATTACAGAAAAAAGCATAAAGAATTAAAAGTGCACAATCATTATATGAATAAAAGGCAAAGCGTATTCAAAAATATGAGAAAAAAGGTTATTACATTTACTTTTAAGAACTAAAATGTACTCACCTAAACTAAGCGAGACTGATTCTGAAGACAAAAAAAAAAGAAATGCTAATATATATAATTATACATGGCATTAAGATGAGATTTGTAAATTTTTGATCAAATTAATGCGAAATTTTGTGACTTCTTGATTTTTTTTTCTTATGCTATTATAAGATTAACAATTATTTGCAACTGTTGAGTATAGTATTAACCTATATATAATTAGTAAATACTATAATAAAAAATTGGAATTCATAAAATTCTAAATATTTGAGTAAAAACTTAACAATTTTATACTAATGATTTTATCAATACTAACGATTTTATTAATACTAACATTTTATTAATTTATTAATATTAACAATTTTATTAATTTATTAATACTGCTGATTTTATATTACTAACAATTTTATTAATTTTAACAATTTTATTAATTTTAATGATTTTATTAATTTTAACAATTTTATTAATTTTAATGATTTTATTAATTTTAACAATTTTATTAATTTTTTTTTTAAAAATATTAATAGTGAAACCATATCTCTGTTTCTATTGAAATTTAATTAAAATCTTTTATATAAAAAAGAATTACAACTTAAACTTCATATCTAACAATAGCAAGAAAAGAAACTTAGATGAGTTTATCTGTAGCCTAAACCAACTATGGTATCTATAGCTTATCTAGATTTGTAGATTAGAAATTATATATGTTAGACTTATTTGATACCTAATCAATAAAGAGTACCAAAGTTTTAATTTAAAGGTAAATTTTAAGAAGATTGAGAAGATAAAAAATTATAGAAGAGAATGAAGGAGGTGCAAAATTATTAGTAGGTTAAATCTGAAAGCGAGAAATTTAATATGGTATCTAAAAATTATAGTAAATTTGTAAATTAAGATATAAAAGAAATTTGATAGTAATTGTAGAAGCAATTTTTGCAAAAGGTGTAAAATATTTGTGTAGATCAATAATATCTCTAGATACAAGACCAAACAAGGAAGAGTTAAGTGATAGAGTACAGTGGTTATGAAATGTCATACTGTTCAGATTTTTAATAGATTATAAAGTATAGTAATCTCTTCAGATAAAGTATCAAGTAATGTTGAATTGAGGACATGCTGTAGAGAACTGTCTATTAAATTATAAATAAGTTGAGATAATGAGCATGTAATCTAATATAGTAAAGTATTTATTTGGTTATATTGGTGACAGTTTGATATAAGGTGATGCTTCTGTTGATATAGAATATGAGAAGTAGGCAGTTTATCCAAAAAAATTTTTACTTAAAATGATTTAAGAGTAGATAATTGGAAACTATGTGAATAGTTTGAAATTTTTTAGTTATTGTTTATATATAGCCAGGTTGCAGACCAGTTAATATAAGTGGTAATTTGTGATCATTATTGAAATCTGTGTTGAGATAACCATAAAGCATAAATATGAATATGACAAATAGTATGAATAGAATGTCAAATTAGTAACTCCAAAGGATATTCATCAAGTAGAAGAGTATAGTTTGGATTGTAGATATTATAAGATTTGAAGGTAAGGTATTCTGAAATAAGGTGGCAGTGGGTGAGTTAATCAGCAAGATTAATAAGATGATTGTCCTGATGTACAGTCACTTTGTAAAATCTAATTTGGAGGTTATAGGCTTGAATAAAATTAATGAAAGTATACCAAAGAATAGAGTATAGAGAGTTTATAAAAAATAATGAATAAGGTGATTGTATAAAACTATTATATTTAGAAATAACAGATTGTAAGCCTGTAAAAATGTGTACAGTACAGGATTTGGATATAGTACTAATTGCTGATAATATAGCAATAAGCTCTGTTTTGAAAGAGCATAGCTAGTATTTAATTTGTATTTGGAGTTTATGTATTATATTGTCTTGTAAGGTTTGTGTCTATCCAATACTTATAGAGCAGTTTGGTAAGCTAAGATCCAACACAGAGCCATCTGTATAAAAGTAATTTCTAAAAGATGTGAATTAGAGTTTGTAATAGTTTGTAAAGTATTAATAAGTGATTCAGATTCAAATATAGATAGAATTGAAGAAGTGTTATAAAAAATATTAGGAGCAGGTAGAATATGAAGAGGATGGTGAATAGCAATTGAATATATCAAATCTAAGAAGTTAGTTTTGTAATTATAAGTACAAAAAAAATTAGATGCAATATTAATCAGAATGAAAAGTGTACAGATATTAGCATTAAGGTTTGAATTAAAAGAACAGCCAGAACAAGGAGTAATATTAATAGGAGAAGTAGAATATAATTTAATAAATTGTGATTAAAGGAGCATAGTCAGTGTGTTATAAGTACAGAACTAGTTGAGATAATCTGTCTTCTGGCTTTGTCAATAACTACTGTATCTGATTTTCAGTAATAGTAATAAGCTATAGTTTTGGTTTTAAGGAAAAGTGTCCAGTAGTATAACTAAAATAGTTATTATTAGGAAGATTATAGTAATCATAAAGTGTTCTATTAGATTCATAATTAGTTATTTTGTTTTCAAGAGTTATAAACCATAATGATTTTCTTCCTCAAGGGATTTTATAAAAACTAGATGCAATATGCTCCCAGCTAAGAAGAAAGAAGTTATCAAATATTGTAAGTTGATCTAAATATAAAATATAGTATTTGCAAAGTTGTTGCTTAAAAGTACTATAGTTTTTTTTTTGGTATTCAGGTGGGATCTTGCCCATAACTTTATTTATTATTAATACTTTCATTATATATATTACTACATTTTCATATTTACATATCTCAAGTACACCAAGCTCAGACCCAGATCCTTATTAGTTATCTATGCTCTGGCCGAAACTATCACTTGCGCAATAGGTGTCCCCATCCGCTATCTGGCTACCGATCTATTATCTGTGATCCAAACCTACCGGAGTGGTATGTCTTTATGAATAGCACTCACCCAGTATTTTTTCACCCTTCACTAGTCCTATTTTGGTATACTTCACTATGACGTCATTCCCCGCATCTCTCATACCACTTATACCTAAGCTTCCAAATTTGGTAGTTCCTTCTGGGATATGGCCTTGTAGCCTCAAGGGCTACTTCCAATCTTGGTTATCTTCAGCTAGTCTGCCCAAGTAGTATCATGAAGAGGAACTCATGCTGGTCTAGGTTAAGCCTCGTTATTAACACCTAATTTAGTTAGTATGCTGACAATTCCTGTTACCTTTATAGGTAGGTACTCCTGTGTGTTGGTGCAGGCTCGCCATATTGCATTATAGGTTACCCCATAACTTCCAGATTGCGTGTTTTATATTACTTCTCTTCCATAGTTTGAGCTATAGTGTTCCGGTGCCCTAACATTTTTAGGTTACTGAGCTCTAGGAGTCTAGACCTAGTTGTGTCTTGCGGTCTGTAATACTTCCAATTTTAGTATTTGGTATTACTTATCAATTTCTGGTATACAAGCCTGATTTGTACAATTGTACTACCAGCCTGATGAATCTAGCCATTTCGAGTTTTTATCATATACCCTGAGTTTCAGCCTTCTCGCTCTGTCCTTACAGGTTTCTTCCTTAATAGACCAAGTGGCTTGGGGCCAGAGGTGCTTCTGAACTCCGAATGGACCAATCCTTTACCACAAGTCGTCCTTGTATTCACCACTTTTCTTACTACTCCAGTTTTGCTACCGTCATGTCACTCTCCCAATCAAGTACCCCAACTGCTGGGGATGTTAGTGCTGCCCCAGTTACCCCTAATTGAGGAATAACATGCGTAACATTTCATGTAACAGAACCTTGATCTTGTTTAAAGCGAATTGAGCTACCTTTCCTAAAAGTGGTTCTAGCTGATTCTTATCATCTCAAGTTAATAAGGGATCAATGTTCGTACTTTCATTCTCACATTGTAGCAAATACTCCTCATGATGCAAACGTAGCCACCTATCTAACGAATTAAAGGATTTCGTTAAACTTCCTGAAGTTTCGATAGCACGTTTCATGGATGAATGTGCACCTTCCACACGTTGTGTTGTTGTGGCACCAAGGTGCATCATTGTGCTAATATAAATTCCAACCCACTTCTCTTTAGCCTTCATCATCCTTTAAAAAATTAAATATTAGATTAGATTAATAACATATATTAAATATAATTTGATCCTTCAATTAAGAATCAAGTTAATATTTTCCTATCAAGATATTTCACCACTTCACTTGCATTTGAGCTTAATGAGGCCAGCTGTTTATATTAAGCAACTGCCAAATTTAATGTCTCATAATCTCGCGTATGAATAAAACAATCTACGATTTTTATAATTTCGTCAAAAGAATCGTCGGCGAAGTGTCTCCTTAAATTCTTCTTAAAATTATTTAAAATGTGCTAGGCACACAACAAATGTTCTGATTGAGGAAATTTTTTTTTAAGAGCACCGATAAGTGCAGCATCATTATCCGTAACGAACACAAGAAGAATAACATCAAAAAAAATAATTGAGGCAAGCATTTCAGCCACCCAAATATATGATTTCTCAGATTCGTCTAAGATCCAAGCGCCAGCGATACCAAAAGTTTGTAGTTGGTTAATTCCAAGATTACTAATATCAACAACATTTACAAATGGCAGTTTGTAAATGTTCGTTTTGTAAGTTGCGTTGATTAGAATAACTTCTGGAAAACGTCTAGCATTTTTAATTACATTACTGTGACAGAAAAAAAGATGCTTGATACACCCATCTGTATTAATTAGATACTGTATAAGAATTTTTTTAAAATAATTTTAACAAAGCAAAGTAAAATACTGTATAAACCACTTGCCTTTTTGATCTTCATGACGGACAGTGTATCCTCTGTTTTCCATACCTAATATCAACGCCTCCATTGAGGCATTTTCTTCTGAAAAATAAAGTCGTGCACCCAAATTAGATATGTCTCTTTTTGTCGCAGTCGGTTCCCCATTTTCATCTCTGATTGCTTCGTAAATCATACTAGGTTTTGCACCGGCTTTTAACATCTGCACGACTGTGCATTTTTCTTCTCATTTTAATTGACGGTGCTTATGAAAAACTCTCACATCTTTAGCCATAGAATGATTATACTTGTTTATTACTTCAGTAACTTGCCACTTGGAATTTTTGTGAATGGCTTTTAATAGATATGGGCACCCGCAACGCTTGCTCATCTTCTTTTTTTGGCGTGTGTCTACTGTTAAATTTGAGCTATTTCGGAGTTGACCACCACGTTTACATTGAAGATGAAAGTATCGATTACCACTACTTTTAGTGGTTACTGCGAACCCAGAACATCGTGCTATTTCCTGAACAATATTTAAAATGTCTTTTTTTGTGGTATAAATTTGTCCAAGCATTTCAATGGCTAATAAAGAAAGTATTAGTAATTAATATAAATAAATATTAAACACTTCATAGTTATTTATATTTGGTCTCAAAAATTTCTTCATTTTCTTTGTTAGATTCGACCTCATCCTTCATATTAAACTCAGTCCCATCATCGTCTTCACTAGATACAATTTCATTTTCCCCATTAGAGTCAATTTGATTGTCTTCATTAAAATTAAGCATATTTTTACTAGAACTTTCAAGAGCATCCATTTTACAACAAGAAGTAAGCATCCGGGGGCTACTATGTTTTGGTTAAATAGCAGATCACTATAAAACAAGTATGAATATCTTGGAACCACGTAAAACTAGATGCTTTTTTTTAAAGGTAGAGCTTTTTTTGTCTTTATTTAAAAAATTAAAAAATTTTTTTTATTGCAAAATACAGAGATATGATTAAAAGTATATTATTAACAAACTATCGATTACATTGTTTATTCATACGTATTGATCTTACGTACGTTAATATTTATTACTTAATTCGACTATTTTTATTCTCTGATCTTTTTAAAATTCCTGAAGACAATATTAATATATAATTATGTATGCATATTGCAATATAATTACGTATGCTATAAATCGTATCTGATTGGCCATCAAGGCCTATTAAAAAATGGGATACTCATGTCGATCATTACTGTGCTGATAAAGGAGATAAGTCACGTGTTTGCTGTTTCAGTATAATTTCCCTATCTAATTAGCTTTTTCGAAGTCTGCGTCATGTGATATGTTCGAAAAATGAGTTTTGACTTTGGTAAGAGTTTCGACTTTCGGTAAGAGTTTTGAGTTTCGGTAAGACTTTCGAGTTTCGGTAAGTCTTTCGAGTTTCGGTAAGACTTTCGAGTTTCGGTAGGACTTTCAAGTTTCGGTAGGACTTTCGAGTTTCGATAGGACTTTCGAGTTTCGGTAAGACTTTCGAGTTTCGGTAGGACTTTCGAGTTTCGGTAAGACTTTCGAGTTTCGGTAGGACTTTCGATATGACTTTCGATTTCGACATGACTTTCGGCACGCCAAAATACTTTCAGAGCCATCCTTAGTTCCCACTAATCAACTTAAGCTGTATAAGAGGTAAGGTAAATATTAATGTACCTATCTATATTTTCAATTTAGTTGAATTTGATCAATTTGATTTTTATGGATCTTGTGAGTCCCATTATTATAACATAGACAATCACCTTAAATTCATTATAAACAATTCTCTCTAAGTGTAGTTCGTTGGGACTAGACTTTGGCAGCTACATTTAGAGAAAATTAAGAAAAATTGCATTTATAGAGACTAGTGATTAGATCCGGATGGGTGCCACCAGGATTACACGCGGGTGGGCGGATGACCCGGGGTGGAGTGTGGCAACACGGGTAGAAACGGGTGGGTCAACCACAGGCCACCTGTAAGTCAGCCTAAAGGTAGCCCGTAGATGTAAGCAAAAAATCAAAATTCTAATAATATTTATCAAAAAAGTTTTAAAAATGCTTATAACCGGCTTAAAGGTCTGCTGACATTTAATGCATGAAAGTATCATTTCTGTATTCAACCAGATATAATGTACGTACATAATCTTATAATGTTTATATTAGGCCACACAAAGTTGAATTTCGTGCTGCATTAGCTGGCATTTCGAAGTTCGGTCTGGTGGTCGAATTTTTTTTTTGGTACTAATCTTTGTAGCCAAAGCCTTTTAATTTATAAAGCTTTCTTGAACATGTTTGCTTGTTCAGATGATTTCAAGCACTTTAACATTCGAATCAGTTAATAATTAATGTCGCAGATTAAAATAAAATCTGATCAAAATGAAACTGGTGACCTCTCATACCCACCCTTAGAGCCTATAAAACCCACATATACTCATTTATTAATAAACCTAACCCTAAACCCTACCCCTAATGCTAAAAAGAACCCCAAAAAATGTCCTCCAAAAAATTTTAAATTTTTCTTAAAAAACAGAAAAATTTCGTTTTGATCAGATTTCGTTTTAATCTGTGACAATTAATATTAGGAAGTTGTATATGATTATATAATGTTTAGGAGAAATAATGACTAATAACATTATCTTCTAAAGTAGTAAACCATAGTAGTTGTCTCCCTTTGGAAACTTTATAAATTCTAGATAAGATATGTTGCTAGCTGAGCAGGCAAGAATTGTCAAAGAATATAAGTTGATCTAGATACATAATATAGTGGTAGTGGAGTTGTTTTTTGAAGATAATATAGATTCTAAAGAAATAGAGTTTGGTGAAATAGTATATAGAATCTGTTCTCAAATTTTGGGAGTAATAGAAAGTCCAAGGTGTTTAAATAGCTGAATAATTTTAAACCTTATAGTAAGCTTATTAAATCTATCAATAATTGAATTTGGATGTAGGAATATATTAGTAGAAGACCAAAGATTATTTTGAAGTTGCTAAAGTCGGATGTGAGAGCAGATTTCTAAGAGATCTTTGTTGTTAAGTCATTTAATATGTTAGAGATATGATGCTGAAGTTGAATATCTCAGATGTTACGAATATTATATAGTTGTAGGTATAGAAGAGTAGTGGTGAAAATGCTACAACTAAGTTTGGCTTTGTATTTAACAAGACCAATATGGTGGGTGAGGATTTTTTTACAGATACTATAACTGAGAACTAAGTTTTGTAGACAATATTCAATGGTAGAAATAATAATGGTATTAATAATATAATAAGCATGTATGTCTGTAATATGTTTAGAGTTTGCAATTTGTATTAAGTGGAGTGAGTCATTAACAATTAGTTGTGTTTGTTTGTAGTGTTTGTTGTAATCCAATAACCAAGAAACTTAAAAGGTTCATGGTGTGAGTGTAGAGAGAGAGCATGGTTGTTAAAGTGATAGGGTAATAGTTAGAAGGAGAATTATTAGTGCTAAGTATAGATTTAGAGTGATTAACTTGAATATTCACCATTTTATAAAAGGATTCTGCAACAGAAATTATGTGAGATAGTTCAGCTTTTTTTAATATATAGTTAGGATTATTATAATATAATATTTATTGAATGTTCAATGAATATTTGAATATTTATTTAAAATTTTTAATGAATATTCAAATATTAAAAAGATTGAACAAATAAATATTCGAATACAAATTTTTTGACCAAATCAGACTTTTACCTACAACCCCTTTTAATTTATGTTTCTTTTACAAAACTCATTGATGCAGCCACTACTATATTAATTGATACAACTGATATATTTAATGAATGGAATGATGTAAGTAAATAAGTAATAACATCTATTTATGCGAAGAACTATTTTTATGATAGTTAGATTCAATGTACAGAGCAGACCATGGAATTCTGCACAGCTGTGAGAACTAAGCTTAAAATGGCAAGCAACTCTGTAGAAGAAACACAATTGAAGTTATCTTCAATATCTTTAGAACCCTGTAACTTTGACATTTGTTATAACAAATTCTTCTCCTTTTATAATCTACCTCTTTTACCTCATAATTAAATACTCAAGTCATTCTTAAATCACTTGAAAAATCAAAATTTAATAATAATATTAATCTCTTAGTTAATTACCCTCCTAATGAAGTGTATATATACTTACCACATGATTAACTCTTACTTTCAAATTATACTACAATCAAACATTTTCTAATAACTAATTATCTAAACCTGCCTATAAGAACAAAAAAATATTTTAACAAATATATTTAATCCAATAGAGATTGCAGCAACTTCTTTATATGCAATACCTCTACTATCACCAACTGTTTCTGAACCAAACTCAGATAAACTTGAATCTTTACCTGCAGATCTGCTTTTACTTTTATAAAACTTCAACTGCAGCACTCCAAGTTCACCTACTTTAGCCTCTACATCTGCACATAATAATTCTATTAACAGCTCTTCTTATCAACATTCTAATCACACCAGAGATCTATATTTTAATATTGTAACTCATAATGTTTAAGGCTTTAATTTAGCGACTAAAAGAGAAACATGGAGAACTATTGTCTTCATAACAATATAACAATTGTAAACATAACTGAAACAAAAATTTTTGCAAACCTAATTTATTTTTCTGTAATAAAGATCTATTTATATATTATTAGGCAAACTCAGAAACCTCAGCTGAAAGAACTGCCCTCATGATCTGCAATCATCTTAAACCTCATGTGTATATCATTATATTTTAGATCTAGACCAACTTACCTCATTCAATAGCTCTTACCTTCTTAGTTAACAGCATATCTCATCCAAAATCTATAAAGTTCCTAAAGGTAGACAATCACTATGATTTACTACTCTCGAAGATAATGTTATTAGTCATTATTCTTCTGGAACTCTATATGATCACATTTAACTTCTGATATAAATTATTACTGCTATACTACTGAATACTTTTCATTACGCTTTAAACCTTGGCTTATAACAATACTTAATGAGCAAATTATCATTAGTAAAGCACACAGACAGCCTACTCCTTCTAGATACATTCTCATTATACACTAGCAATGCTCTATTGAGTCTCAATTTATTTACTTATATCCAACACCACCTATCACTACTTATTGATGTTTAGACTGCTCTCTAAATTCCAACCTTATTGCCAATAGATGTATTATCCTTATTCCAATCAATCTAGCAGCAAATTCTTTAGTAGAATCAATTTTACAACCAAATCTGTTAATCTAAATACCAATCATCTTACTTAATATATTCTATTGCCTGTTGACATCTACTTCAAATTCTATCTATCCCTAATATTTCTATTGCTACAACACAAATACTAGGCATTTTTGAAGGAACACTTTAACTCATATTCTTCAAACAATTGCTAATTTTAATCACAACTATTCTGAGTTTTCATTCTATATGGATAGTTCAGTTATAGAACTTTGAACACCTCAATACTCTATAAAAATTGGATAAATACAAATTTATAATAACAATATTGTGCATTCTTTTTAGACACAAATTAAACTCTAGTCATGTTCTTTTAAGGCTAAACTTACTGCTATCCTATCTGCACTTATCACAGCTGTATAGTTCATATCTATACAGATTCACAATCTATAATATTTAAATATCATAATATCAATTAGGCTTCACTTGCTTTATTTTTTATTTGAACACTATATCACTCACTATAGTACACCTTAATCAATTTTATTAATTCATATAATTTACAAATTGCTTTTCACAAGGTTGATGCCTACCAAGATGCCAAATTTAATAACCAGATTATTTAATATTCAAGCTCTACAATATATACAACCCAAACTATACTCTCTTTCTTGATAACTTCTCAGTATAGTTGCCTATTAGATGATTTATTTGAACAATTTGTCATGTCTACATCTATGCCCTTTGATCATCTCAAAACAGATTCCAGCAATGATCTCAAATCTTTAATCTGATTTACTGGCTATATATTAATAATAACCAAAAGATATCTAACTACTCATACAGCTTTCAGTCATCTACCTTGAAATCATTTCATATTAAAATCCTACTTAATGATTTGCCTACTCTATATATTTTACATAAACAGAACACTGTATATCTACCAATATGCCACCAATGTAATCAAGCCAGTATTTCACTTCACTGAATTACATGCTCAACACCTCAGCCTCTTCAGAACTTAATTAACAACTCACTTCAATCAATAATAAATTTATCTAATCTTGATTCTTCAGCTGAATCTATTACCAATATTCATCAGCAAATCCAAAATCTTCAATGCATGTAAATTCACAACTCATCAAACATACTATCTCTTTTTTCAACAATCTTGGGTCTTGTCCCTATTGAAATTATATCTGTTCTTACTGATCTTATCTCATCTAAGAAAACTACAGTATCACTTGCAATCAAATTTCTATTACACCTTAACAAACAAATTTAAAACTTTATTTAGATTTCATATTGTATCTCTAGATCTTAAGCTAATATTTTTATTAACCAATTATCTTCTGTATTTACTTCATCTTACCAACCTTGACCTTCACTTTATTCAATTGCTAGTCTTAAATTAGAATTATGATATCCAAAATGGATCAAATACTAATTTGACTTTACAATTTATTTCTTAATCCCTAAATCTAGGTAAGCTATGGCCACTCTGGTAGGTTTAGACCACAGATAATTATGTTATTTATAGTAACATTGTGTCTGAGTCTCTAGTCTTAACATTCTTTGGATATGAGATTCAAATGTAATTTCTTTTTTGTGTGTATTTCTTATAAAGAAACTTGATTGAATTTTAATAAAGTTAGAGGCATTACCTCACCTTTTAAAATTTTAAAATATATATATATATTTAAAAATGCTATTTGACCAATTTAACTAATACAAATTCTTTGGCTAGACTGATCAAATAGTCAAATTGGTCTAGTCAATTGGTCAGACTGTCTGGTCAGCCCAACACTGGTAATAATATACAAAAAATAATAAGAAGAAAAAATCTACAATCATAAGAGTTTGCATGATAACTATTTATTATCCAACTAACTCTCATGATCATGAATTTATTTCTTCTGTTATTTTTTTCATATGTTAAAAATAATCACATTTACTCGAATTAAAACTCAGCTGACAGCTCCCTGCTAATCATGATGTATAAGATATTGGTAATACAATGATTAATATCATGAAATTTGGTTTGTCAGGGCAAATGATTGGCTGACATGTAGCGAATAGCGGCACATTTCAGCTGATTATTTGCTCTGGCAAAACAAATTTTGTGATATTTATCATCGCATAATTCAATATTGATGGTATCATGCAATTGTGATCATGATTAACGAGTCATGGTTGGCTAATTGAGTTTTAATTCGGGATTGTTGTGCTTAAATAATAACGTACAAGAAATAACAAGAAGAAAAAAATCTATGGTCATAAGAGTTTGCACAATAACATAAATTGTTGGATAACACCATTATTCGGCAAATTTTTGAATAACGGTAATTTAGTTCAACTAGGCAAATGATTGGCTGACACGTGCCACGAAGTGGCACATGTTCATTTGCTCGTTTGAACCAAATTACCGTTATTTAATCAAAATGACATACTGAAATAACAATATTTAAACTATTTAATAAGCTGTGCTTATCTCATTTTATACCACGTCTATATCGACTTGTATCATTGTATTTAAAATATTACACCTTTTTATTACTTCTACAAGTTACAACTCATAAAATAAAAAATTCACAGTTGGCAAAGCTCAATAGATTATACAAACGTATGTCATACTATAAGTAAGTGGCTCATCACTACACCAATAATCTTACACATTCAAGTAATTTCCCGTTCCTGGTTTTAGCGCGACTGCGTTGCGCAGCTACCTTATTTCTTACCGATATGATGAATTGATAATCAAGGATCTTCGAAGGCTGTAGTGAAAGAATTTGAAGATCAGTTCCAAATTTAAATTATCGTGCAATTTTTTAAAGTCATTAAACACTACATTAGTGCCAGTTTACAATTATAGCGAGGCCTATCTTGTACTAAAATTTTGCAAGGAATTTATTTATTAGTGCGCAGAAGAAGGTTACATAGATGAAATTTTGAGTTACAAGCGGTTTTTTAAAAAAACGCATATCATTTCTAATTTTAAAACAGTTATTATCCATATTACTATAATTTAAAATTTAAAACAATGCCGAGCGAAGCGAGGCAGAACATAATAAATGTAAAACTGAGCTTGAATTGAGGCCGAAAGTTATTGCATTTGTTATCTTCAAAACTAGCTTTATGTATTTATGTTCTATTTCATTAAAGAGAGAGAATTTTTAATAAAAATTAAATGTTAAATAAAACATTGTTTTACTGTTTCACTTGATCTCTAATTATTAGATAGTTTTAAAACTGAATGGCAAAGCCTCCCGTATATAAAGCTCTAGTATCTCTGTTTAAATTGCATCTACATTATTGTTAATCTTGATTAAGACTTTAAGTTAGCAATTAATAGTTGTTGAAATATGTAGAGTTTAAAACCTAGCCGAGCGAAGCGAGGCAAACATAAAAAACTTAAAACTCAAAAAAGCCAAGAACTATGAAAAAAATCAAATAGAATAACACCTTAATATATCTTTTTTTGATTTCATTTAATCATATATTATCAAATTACTATCTAGATTGCTCTCTATTTGTTCTGTACACATTCTAAAGCATCTTCAACCCCTATATTTTCTGTCATTGTTCTGCGTCTTTTTTGGAAACATATCTCTCAATCTCCATAATGAAAGAAGACGCTAAATAAAATTTAGACTTTAATGTCTGAAGGACAGCAAATGCCTGTTCGAGGCAGTATGCAGTTTTAGAGTTCGTGGGAAGGATGCAAGTGTCTACAAGTCCAAAAAGATAGACACCGCCACCACACCAAATCAATGAATATATATTCATACGGGTACCTATAAAAAAAGAATTGTTAAATATTCAATCCATTCTGTTACAATTATTTAAACGTTCTATAAATAAAATGTTTACCAATCACTTGGACTCCGTATACGCCAATTTTATGAGGTCACGATCATCTGCATTTCTGTATTCTTTAATCAATTGGTTTATTTCGTCCCTCATCATAATCATCAGTTTAATTTTATCTATCCATTGTTTTCGACGGCAAGCTAGTGCATTACCGTCTTCAATTCCACCTGAAACCTCCCCATGTAGGATCTGCAATTTATAATTCGGCTTCCTTAACAGTAATTTAATGTCAGCTTTTTTCCCTACTTTGGCTCTTTTTTCGGGATTTTCATTACTGTTAGCCGCTTCTGAGCTTGAGAGGGACATCGCCTCAACCCTATAGAATAATAACATAAAACGATTCAGGGTATCGTAAGTGATCGAATTATTAAAGCCGGCTTAAATGGCTTGTCACGTGATAAATCGATTTTATCACTTTTTATATGTACCAAATTCGAATTTATCACATATTTATGTGATAAATTCCAATTTATTACGTGATAAGCCATTTTAAGCCGCAGCAAGCTGCAGTTAGCAAGCTTATTTTGAACACTAAATATTATACATTTGAAACTTACCATTCCATCTTAAATGCGTCATCATCAGTGAGTACGGATGCTATTAGAGGATATATATAAGCATGCGTATAATGTCGCTCGGTCATATGTTGTCTAAGGATCGGATATGTGTGTGTCGATCTGTAAATAGATTCATTAGCCGTAAAAGTTGCAAAATCCAAACCATCAAACATATCAGAATAATTGCTTACATAAATTTCACCGCGCAATGAAATTTTTCCAATTCTTCTGTTGGAGAATTTGGTAGGGTGCAATTATTGACGAAATACGTTTGGAATTCTTGTGGAGTTTTAAATGATTTCCATTGGACAACGGAATTAAATACGTCAATTAATTCTTTCCAATCCTTAGAAGAAAATGATGCCTTTGTAGTAATATGTTGACCTGATAGGTCACAAATTCCATAATATGCTGGATTTAACATTTGGTCATTTTTACGTATTCTGGAACGAATTTCTTTGAATTTTAGGTGGAAATCCAATTCACTGTCAAGGATAAATGTCCTCCAGTCCTATAACGAAAATCTAGTAAGTGAAGAATAAAAAAAATTCCTTCCATATTTGCGCGAAATAAAGTCCGTAGCGTTATTTTGAAATGTGCAACTTAAAGAGAGATAATAATTTATTTACCCAAAGCAAATTAAAATTTTATCTTTAAAAGATCCTCGACAAAATTTATTAATTGCATGTCATTAAATAACGCACCTTATCTAATGTTGAATTTTGCACTTCATGTGCTGAGATAATTTGCTCTTCACTTAACTCTGACTCTACCACATTTCCTGTAAGGTCGTTTTCAAATAGAAGTGCTACAGATTCGTGGTCATCATAATTTTCGTCATCATTATCCTTGTATACATTATACGTTAGTGAATAAATATCAAATCGGAAGAATTCAAAATAAAAATTATAAGAATGATCGTCGATCCCATTTCCATTGTTAAAATTTCCACTTTTGAATTCGATAAGTGTCTAATTCAAATAAGGAAATTTTAACAATGACGCATTTAAGTCCTCATGACAATAACAAATAAATCAAACTGAAATAAAAATTCTAATTTCACCCTGTATCCTATATAAATTGCCAACATTAGATGAACGATTCATATAAGCAATTATAAAAGCCACCCTATATAAATTGCCCAAAGATAAGCGATTCATATAAGCAATTATAAAAGCCATCCTATATAAATTGACACCTTTAGACAAACGATTCATATAAGCAATTATAAAAGCCACCCTATATAAATTGCCACCAGAGTAAGCGATTCATATAAGCAATTATAAAAGCCATCCTATATAAATTGCCACCTTTAGATGGACGATTCATATAAGCAATTATAAAAGCCATCCTATATAAATTGCCACCTTTAGATGAACGATTCATATAAACAATTATAAAAGCCACCCTATATAAATTGCCACCAGAGTAAGCGATTCATATAAGCAATTATAAAACCCACCCTATATAAATTGCCACCTTTAGATGAACGATTCATATAAGCAATTATAAAAGCCACCCTATATAAATTACCACCAGAGTAAGTGATTCATATAAGCAATTATAAAAGCCATCCTATATAAACTGCCACCTTTAGATGAACGATTCATATAAGCAATTATAAAAGCCATCCTATATAAATTGCAACCTTTAGATGAGCGATTCATATAAGCAATTATAAAAGCCACCCTATATAAATTGCCCAAAGATAAGCGATTCATATAAGCAATTATAAAAGCCATCCTATATAAACTGCCACCTTTAGATGAATGATTCATATAAGCAATTATAAAAGCCATCCTACATAAATTGCTACCTTTAGATGAGCGATTCATATAAGCAATTATAAAAGTCATCCTATATAAATTGCCACCTTTAGATGAGCGATTCATATAAGCAATTATAAAAGCCATCCTATATAAATTGCCACCTTTAGATGAGCGATTCATATAAGCAATTATAAAAGCCATCCTATATAAATTGCCACCTTTAGATGAGCGATTCATATAAGCAATTAT